TGCAAGATACTCTATCTGTTCCTATTTGTTTGCCCCATTGCTAATATTTGGGTCAAACTTTGATAACTTTGACCATTAATTCTTTTTAATGTATAAGATATTATATAGTCAAGTGGGGTTTTGTTGGATTCATCTTGTTGCATATTTTTTATTTTATTAAAATCTAGTTTTTATAATTTTTACACTTATAAAAATAAAGATATATGCATTTAAAAGCGCTTCTTGGAGACCGTGATATGTCAAATGGGACAAAAAATAAGGGACGAAGGGATTATTATCTTGGACAAAGCTAAGCTCTCAAACACACACTTGCATAAATGTAACCGGCCATCATAAAGATATTTTTGTAAAGTTTCTCCAAGATAAATACTCTTACATACCATGCTTTGTTGATTCAATCAAAATTGTAATCTTCAATTTATTACTTTGAACATGTTTACAGTACAAAATGTAAAAATCATTTTTGAAAAATAACTAGCTAGGTCAAAAACCTGAGATATAGCTCGATGCCTTAACTTATGGACCCATACATACCAATCCCAATAAAGTGGCAATAAATTTAATTTCTAATTTATAATCTGTTTGTTCCTTTTGAAATCTTTAGTTAGTTTGAGCCGAGGACAAAATTTCGATTATGAAGAATGGTTAACATATACAAGTATCTAGGAATAAATATAATCATGTGTGATCTTGTTAAATTATCTCAATATGATACATGTTATTGAGAGATAAATATATTAAAGACTGATAAACTAAGTATAATTATATATGGAGTATAAATTAAAGATAAAGGTGCTTTTTGACAAGGAAAATATGGAGGTACTTTGTAAGATAAATATTGGAGATAAGTGTAAATCACTAGGACATTCAACTATTCAAGGAAAATGTCATTAGATTGTTACGAGGTTAAGTTTTTAAAAATTACAAAAAATATTGAAGGTTCTTTTACAATTTTTTTCATAAATTAATTTAATACAAATAATGAAAGACAATTCAGTAGAACATATATGTATAACCACTAACTTTTATATGGAGGCACCATGAGACTACTGGTTATTAGTGTTATAGGGGGTACTCTATCACGGTTATAAGAGTTATTTTGTTATTTAAGGGTCGTTATAAAATATATAATAAGGGATAATTTTGTTAGTATATATAGTAGGAGACTTGGGGGTACTCTGTTAGTGTTATAGGGGTTACTCTGCCAGTGTTATAGAGGTTACTCCGTTTTTTTATAAGCAGCTATATGGTATGACCTAGGGATGGCAGTGGGGCGGGGATGGACGAAGGTTTGGCGGGTGATGGGTATAAAAATTGTACCCGCCATGGATGGTAGGGTAGGTATAGATTTTAGAGTAAACCCGCCCCATCCCCACCCTGCCCCATCACCCGCCTTATACTACTTTTTGTAAAGGTTGAAACGAGCTTAGAATCTAGACTATAATAATATAATAAACATAAAATATTTTATTAATAACATTAACGTCGTATATAAATTTTGCCAAGTGGATGTAAAAAGAGGTTTATTAGAAATGATAATTCTTCATATTATTGTCATATAATGTCATTATGGTAGCAGGTATGAGGCGGGTATGGGGTGGGTTTGAGGTGGGTATGGATATTCAAATTGGTGGTGGGGCGGGGATGAATAACTTATATACCCGGCAGGGTGGGTATGGATGTGAAAATTGTACCCGTCATGGGTGGTGGGGCGGGGATGGGTATAAGATTTTTAGGCGGGTATGGTTGTGGAGGTACCAACCTCCGCATCCGACCTGCCCCATTGTCATCCCTAGTATGACCAGCTGCACAGAAAACAAGCTATAATATAACATATACTGTACAACGTTAAATTAAATACATATTAAAGCATCCAATAACCATGCAAATACAACAAATACAGAAAACAGTTAAACCAATCATAGAATAGGGAACCATGCGAGGGTTCATTGGAAGGGGGTATAATGTGTCGTCCAATTTGTAATTTTTATTTGATAATAATAATTCCACTGTATTATATTTGCATGTTACGTACAAATGAAGTATAAATTTATGACCTATTGTACAAATTAAAACCTATAAATACCCTCTACCTTTCCTAAATATCTTTCATCCTCAACAACCTAACCTCCTTCTCTTTTCCACATACAACATTTCTATATATCTTTTTCTAGTTAAGAAAAAGAAAATGGAAACCAAAGTAACATCATCCTTAACACATGTACTTATTCTTGTTCTCTTTACCTTAATATTCGTTGTAAATCAACAACTCGTAGCAGCAACCAACATTAACTTGGTGAACCTAGGTGCAAAATCAGACGGGTTAACAGACTCATCAAGAGCATTTACGTCTGCATGGAACATTGCATGTGAGTCAAGAAACCCTTCCACAATTTTTGTACCACAAGGAAGGTACTTGGTTAACAAAGCCTTAGTATTTAATGGGAGGAATTGCAAGAACAAGGCTATAAGCTTTGTCATTAGAGGCACCTTGGTGGCCCCGGCTGACTTTCGAGTGCTCGGAAATGCCGGTACTTGGTTCTCTTTTGATGATGTTACCGGAGTTTCTATCTTTGGCGGGGTGTTTGATGGACAAGGTGCTGGCTTGTGGGCTTGTAAGAGGTCCGGAAAGACTTGTCCCCCCGGAGCTACCGTAAGTAAAATTTATTCTTCAACCTTAATAATTATCTATGTCATACATGATCAATTATTTACAATCAAAATAAAAATACATTAATAAATTGAAAATTATTTTGTTAATTTAAATAGTGATCTGAGCATTTATAAACTATGTACACATGTTAACCACTATATTAAGATGATGTTAACATGTTATTAATTTAACTTACTGTTGTTGTAACTAATGTATCACAAGGATGTTATATTCTTAATGTTGGACAATAATTTATCATCTAATTACTTCTATATTTGTGCAGACAATTCGATTTTCAAATTCAATGAACATCGTGGTGAATGGATTAACTTCATTGAATAGCCAATTGTATCATATTGATTTTGATGGTTGTAAGGAAGTAAAAGCTGAAGGTGTGCAAGTCTCGGCCTCTGGTGCAAGCCCTAACACCGACGGAATTCATGTTCAACACTCGACTGGAGTGACAATCATGAACACAAAAATAGGCACAGGAGATGATTGTGTATCAATTGGAGCTGGGACTAGTAACTTGTGGATTGAAAATATTGCTTGTGGCCCTGGTCATGGAATTAGGTATTTATTAAGAGCCATTTCTAACTATAGTGTTTTTGCTCATACTATCCTATCATCTTATAGTGATTTTTTTTTTTTGTCCAAAATAAGTTTACAATACATTCTAAAAGCAAAAGTGTGCTAATAAAATTAAATTACGCGTAAAGTTTTAACATATGTTACATTGAATATCAGCATCGGGAGTTTAGGAAAGGAGCTAAATGAGCCTGGAGTAGTAAATGTGACGGTCAAGAGTTGTACTTTTGTTGGCACCAAAAATGGAGTAAGGATAAAATCATGGGGAAGGCCAAGCAATGGATTTGTGAGACATGTTCTCTTTCAACATCTTAAAATGGTGAATGCTCAAAATCCAATCATTATTAACCAAAACTATTGTCCAAATGAGAGGGGTTGCCCTGGAAAGATAAGAAAACAACATCAATATTTTTTTTCTAATCATTAAAAACTAATTAAATTAATCATTCATATCCTCTAATAATAATACTAATTGTTACATTGCATACTTGTAATTGATCAGGTTTCAGGAGTGAGAATCAGCGACGTAACATATCAAGATATTCATGGGACATCCGAAACACGTATTGGTGTAAAATTTGATTGTAGTTCAAAATACCATTGCGCGGATATCAAAGTCAAAGACGTGCATCTCACCTATAGAAACAAACCAGCTGGGTCATCTTGTAATAATACTGTTGGAACTATCCTTGGTTCAATTCTGCCTAATAGCTGTTTTTAAGTGCGGATTGATATATGCAGTCAAAATTATATATCAGTTAATACATAATTTGTTTTTCATATCCAGCACAATCAATAGCTTTTATTAATCATATATCTTTGTAATGACATTAATTGAATAAAAGATTATATGATTTGTATCTTTAGATGAGAGTACGTATTGTTATGGTTCATGTTTGTTGTATCTTTGTTTCTGTATATATACTTAAGTTTACGCCTCTTAATCGAATATTGACAAAAGTAATAAAGTATACAATAATCAAAATAAACAACTACACTACAAAAAAAAAAAAAAAAAAAAAAAAAAAAGGTATACCATATAACTTACAACCATATGTAGTTCTGCATGCACAAAGAATTATTTATATTCTATATATATCCAAAATAGGATCTTAGAAACTTTGTGTACAACAAACTTCTTTATATTCTATATATATCTTTATTTTAGGGGGTTAACACTTTAACTATTAAGGTGACGTAATATTGTTAAATTATTTTATATTGATGCCTCAAGCGTCGGCAAAAGGCTTAATTTCACCCAAAAACTCCAACCATTTTTTCCATATTCAAGGTTTTATATATGTCATCAGTCTCTTATTGCATCTCAACTCTCTTCTGTTGATTTGTTCAATAAGATACAATTCTTATTTTTGTAAAATCAAGTAAGTACTCCCTCCGACTAGGGGTGTCAACGGGGCGGGGCGGGGCGGATTTTGGCATTCCCATCCCCATCCCCGCCTCACATTTTCATCCCCATCCCCATCCCCATCCCCATGTCGGGTCTGAAAATAATCCCCGTCCCCGCCCCGGCGGGTCCAACTCTAAAACCACCCCCGCCCCATCCCCGTCCCCGCCCCATACCCGCCAAACCCCCACCCCATACCCGCCAAACCCCCGCCCCATCCCCGCCAATTCCCCGCCCCATACCCGCCAACTTAGTATTGAGAAAAGCAACTGTCTTTCAAGTTTCAAGTGTCAACTGAAACCCTGCAGACTTCATAGTAGACTAATGAAAAAGTAGCAGTGCATACAAATCCCATTAACTCAAATCCAACAAAAACCACTGCAAGATCAACCATTTTCATAAAGTGCAACACCTTAGGCATACATACTACATTACTACATATTAAAAAACTTAAAATTAGTAGTACATAAGAGAAAAAAAAAAAACACTAACTCCAAATTGTCCAAAGTCCAAATATTAAAAATAACTACAAGTCTACAAATATTCAAATACATAACAAGAAATTCATTAGGCCTTGAATTATTCGGTGCAAAGTCCACTTGTTCGAGTTGTTCCAGAATCGATATCACATGTTTCAAATCCTTCCTCTAATTCTCCCACTAATTTAGCATATTCATCATCCTTAAATTCTCCACAATCTGCAAATACAATGTGAATTAATTAAAATAAATAAATAAATAATATTATTAATTAAATAAAATTTTATTTTAGCTATTTACTTTTAGAAGCAGCCCATATCCAATTTTGAGTACACATCAAAGCTTCTACAGCTTCCGGTAAAAGCCGACTACGATAAGGATTAAGAACCCGACCACTTGTGCTAAATGCGGACTCTGATGCAACAGTAGAAACAGGAATGCTCAATATATCTCGTGCTATTTGCTGAAGAATGGGATATGTGCCTCCATTTGTCTTCCACCAGTTAAGAATATCAAAATCTTGGACTAGAGGCACATTAGCAGCATCTAAATACTTATCCAAATCTGATATATCATGACTTGAGTCCTTATCTTGTTGTAAAAATTCAGCAAATTCTTGCATAAAGGTCTCTTCATTGGATTTGCTACTACTACCCAAATCAAAAGCTTGTTGGTTGCTACTACCTTGAGTTTTACCCATCTTAGACCCATATTCATCAACCAATCTTCGTAGAAGATCACTAATTCTACTAACCTCAATTTCAAAGTCATGCTCATCAAAAATTTTTGCAAAATAAAAGCGAATAAGAGCCATTTTGTATCTAGGATCTAGTATTGTTGCCACTCCCATTAAGCCATTCACACTAGCCCAATACTTGTTATATTTTTGTAACATAATGTCGGCCATTTTCCTTACATAATCATGAGGAGATAAAAGCCAACCAGAAATAGCAATTCTCAAAGCACAAATTTTAGGAAAATAAAGATTGGCCGTAGGGTAATTTGTTCCTGAAAAATTAAGGGTAGTTTTACTAAACACTTCCAAATGTTCACATATTTTCTCAACTTTTTCCCAATCTTCAGGGGTCGGTGGATTCTTATATAAATTATTACGAGCACTTAAAACAACAAACACTTCTTTATAACTAGTAGCAATAGAAAGCATTTCATAAGTAGAATTCCACCGGGTTTTGCAATCAAGTGCTAACTTTCTACTACACTCAGGAGTTATTTGCTTAGCCACTTGTTCAAACCTTTGTACTCTCTTATCAGAAGCAGTCCAAAACACAACACTATCCCTAATTCTTTGAACACCATTTGATACCACAGCACTTAAACCATCTTGAACAATCAAATTTAATATGTGAGCACAACAACGCATATGAAAAAAATCACCTCGCAATAAAAGTGAGCCATATGGAAACACTCCTTTCAAAATTTCCATCATTGCATCATTAGTTGAACAATTATCCACGGTTATAGAAGACAACCTAAGATCAAGATTCCATGATTGAATGCTTTCTTTCAAAGCATCAGCAAGAACCTCAGTAGTATGAGGGGCGGGGACATATAAAAACCTACCAAAACCAATGAAAATAACATATATTATTTGTCTATTCAATACTATTGTGGATATATGGGCTCATTATTATCATCCATCATCACAACTTATAATTCTTATGATTTTAAAATTCACACAAAAAACTATAGCAATACAAAGACAACCAAAAAAAATAAACAAGTTATAAGTAACCAGAAAACAATACCTTATGATCCGACTTTGCAACTTCCATGTATTATCAATAAAATGTGAGGTGACCGCCATATAACCTTTTCTCTGGTTGTCAGCTGTCCACATGTCAGTAGTTAAGGCAATCTTACCCTTTGCTTTCCTCAACAAGGTTGCAACATTCTCCTTCTCAAGCTCATATCTTTTCATAATATCTTTTCTAGTTGTGTTGCGAGACGGCACTTTAAATCCAGGTTGGAGTGTCTTGCTATATTTTCTAAAACCAATATGCTCAACCATGCTAATTGGATACTCATGCAAAATAATCATCTCTGCCAAGTCTCTTCTTCCATCTTCTTGGTGGAATTCGTAAGGAGCCAATGTCATCGTGTCATTCTTATCATTCAAGTTTTTTTTTGTACCAAACATTCTTGTTTGTCGAAGATCTTGACATACTCTCTTTGGACATATTTTTATATGATCTTTCAAATGAGTAGTTCCTGCTTTTGACCCACCAGCAAGTAGCTTGGAGCAATGGTTGCACTCAGCTTTTATCACATCCCCAACTCTCTTTCTCTTAAAATCAGACCACACTGCCGAAGTATGCCTACTAGTAATTGGTAGGAGAGAAGGATCGGAATTAGTCTCTAGAGGACTTTCATCATCATCTATTGCAATTGGAGTATTACTAGCGGAAGTGGGAACACTAGCGTTATTCTCATTTTTAGATGTCATTCTCCCCTGTAAAAATTAAATAAAGACAATTAATGCACTAGACATATTGACTACAGTATTGAACACATTTGACATCTCAGAAACAGCAATAATAAATTAATAATAGCAAATTAGCAATGCACAGCAGCAAAGGCAGATCATGCTTCTAGCACAGCTATCGGAAGATATCATGTTGAAAGGCCTATCAATGCATAATGTCATACTGTAACTACTATGTTAATATATTGTTGCTGCTGCATAACCAGTTAACCACCTATCACACTAAGTCACTAACCACTACATACAGGCTACAACACAAATTTATAGCCACTGAGCCACATAGATACAAACACAAACGCTCACACACACCATGCATCATTCATAGGCTAATAGCCAGTCATTTTCAATTCAAATTTAGTAAAAAATCAGTATATATATTTTGAACTACAATACAATCAAAATTCATCCCCACTTAATTATATACAAAGTGTGTTAAGTTAGTGTGTACTACAGAGATTGATCTTAGACTTAGTAAATGAATTAAATAAAAAAAAAAAGTAACTAAATCTATAATGATCGAATAAGTGGTCAAATGACATAATCCGAATTTAGTTATCACACATAAGCTAAAATAATAAACATAAACTTATAAGTCTGAAATTAATGAGAAAAACTAATTACAATCTATACATATTTCGACTTTATTATATCTATTTTGTGAAATTAAATATAAAAAAACAAGTAATGAAAATTCTAGATTAAAACCCTAATAAACTAAAAAATTTGGAGGTCATCATATTCATACATTATCATACAAAAAATAACAGTAATCAACTACATTGCATTAGATTGAAAGTATCATACAAATATAACACGAAACCCTAGCTCAATCAAATGAAATATTGAAAACCGCAATCGAACAAATCATAAATAAAAGACGAATCACATACTTTCAATCGAAAACCCAATTAAGAAATTCTTAATTGAACATATTGAATTAAGAAAATTCAAAGATAATAATGCGAAAACGTTTACCTAAATTGAATGAGTTGCAGCCTTGCAAGATCGAGGTTGAAGAAGAAGGATCGAAGAGATTTGATTGCAGACGAGGACCACGAGGTTGAAGAAGAAGGATCGAAGAGAGGGGTTTGAGGCTTGAGGAAGAGATTCAGCGCTTGAGACAGTGAGGCAGTGAGACTGTGAGAGGAGAGAGTGAGGCAGTGAGGCTAGGGTTTTTGTTTTGAGAATGAGTGAATGACTGAATGAGGGTGGGTATTGGGTAAGTGGGTTACTGGGTTAGATTTCATTAGGTGTAGTAATTTTTTTTTTTTTAATCGTATTATGCTATGGCTAGTCGGGTCTTATGCGGGTATGGGGTGGGTATAAAGCGGGTATGGGTCGGGTATGGAGTGGGTCAGGCGGGGCGGGGCGGGTACGGGGTGGGTCAGGCGGGGCAGGGCGGGGCGGGTATGGGGCGGGTCTGGGCGGGGCGGGTATTACATAACAACCATCCCCGCCCCATCACCCATGGCGGGTATGGATTTTAGACCCATCCCCGCCCCGCGACCCGCCAAAGCTAGACCCATCCCCGCCCCATCGGGGCGGGGATGGGGCGGGTCTCCTACTAGACCCGCCCCAGTGACATCCCTACCTCCGACCTCAAATTTATTTTAAGTAAAATCTACAACACTTATAAATATCACTTTTCACCACTATACCATTTCCCGGCTAAGTCGATAGTGTGCATATCTTTTTTCAATTAGTAGAATTCATTTGAGACGGTGTGGTTTTAGACATAAACTAGGTTAGGTCCCGTGCCATGCACGGTACGTTATTTTAATTACTTTTGAACAAAATTGTTTAATATCTTGAACAAAATTGAAGTAACATGGAATATTTGATCAAGATTAAAAAATATTCTACCAAAAATACATCTTCTTGAAAAATATTATATATTTCCTTATTATTCCGTGATTAATTGAGTATCAACATAAAAATGGTAAATATTATTGCTAATAGTTGACAAAAATAAACTTGGTTTTTTTTTAAAAAAATAACTTCCTTAAATAAAATTTAGTAATTAATTATTTAAAAAATATACTAAGAACACACCAGAAATCGACACGTGTCATTGCTGGTGTGTCTTTTAGTATATAGTTATTGATTATTGATTGACCTTCGGACATAGATTCAACAACAACTCTCATTTCATCATATATATATATATTGAAATAATCCAACTTGATACGACAAAAAAAGTACGATTGTATAGTTTTAATCCAATTGGTAATCTTATGATCTTAAATTAAATCAACCTATCCCGAAATCTGTGACTATTATAACAAGGAAATCACAATAACATAACCCAATTAAACTTGAATCATATCAAATATGGCACATCACACATGTTGAAGATGATATAATCATATAAAGGATATAATATAATTATGATTCACATAATTATATAAAGTATACTACATTATATTGCTGATTATGTCAGCTGAGTATACTTAAGATGTTACAGTTGTTTACAAAGTTGACATGTTAAAATCTCTTAATATACTTTGTTTGTCACCTCTAAGAACTCATCGTGGATGACATATGCATCTTGAGAAGAAAATAGTTAATTGATAGTCAAGATCCACACACAACATACATGGTCATCTATTCCCTCCATTCCTTGGCTTTTTTGTTTGTCTAATTTGAAATCTTGAATTTGATCCGATAAAGTTATAATGCAGATTATTTGATATAAATAAGAAAAACATACTTTGGATTTGTTAAATTTGACTTGATATGTAGTTTCAAAATATCAACTTTTTAAAAATTATATTAATTACTTGTACAAAATTTTTTGTATAAACCCGATTTATAATAATTTTAATGTACATCGAGCAGTGTTTGGGTAACTTTTAGCGAATTTAGGGCAACTTTAAGCCTTTTTTGGGTACTTTAAAATGTGTGCGATTTTAATATAACTAAGCAACAGGATATTTAATTACTTATTATTTAGTTTTCAATCATTGTGATTTGATTTTAAGTCATCTATAACTTTAAATATTTGTAACTTTTATATATTAGGGTAATTTTTATTTATTTTAAGGTAACTTTTGATCATATTAGTAGGAATACTTGCTTTACAGGATCCCGATTTTTGTAAAAGTTTGTCTTACTTGTAATGCATATAGCAGTTAAAGAGATATGTTGATGTTTATATATGTCCATATGTGTACATTAAAATTGTGTTAAAAATCAAAAGAGACAAAAAAAAGGAATAGAAGGATCATTAAAGAAAAACTCAACACTAGTGTTTTATTATACTTGTATAGTCATCTTACAATGCAACTTGAAGATTCTTATTACAAATAATACAAAATTACACAAAAAAATTTGAATAATCTTTAAGGCTTTCAACCTTATGTATAAATTTTATTAATTTGTATAAGTAAATAAAAGCTTTACTTATAAATATTCATCAAATGGATATTTTTTGAGTTAATTACCTCTTGCAAACTACACCACGTCCATTCATCCCACTAGCACAATTCATGCTAGCAAGATCCATGGTCTCTAATGAAGTCTCTTCTTGACTACCAACGAACCTCGAAGCCAAACAATCCGTGGCAAAAATGCTACTGCTTGCAAACTCTCTTTCGCCTCCCATAACCGGCATGGATGCTCTCATATTCACTCGGCTCACGTAATCATCCCTATAAGTTTTTCCTAGAACACCATCAACCTTTCCGGTCAAAGAGTAAAACTTAAACCCGAGATCAAGATGAGCAAATCGATCCTCGTTAGTAATACCGTAGTTGTGTACCCTAGACTCTTCATCAGTAATAGGTACAACCTTAGCCGTGATCTTGAGTTTACCTTGGATTTCGACTACAATATCATTGGTTTCGCTTGCCCTAGTTATGGTAACTTGTGGCATAGAGGTGGATGACCATTGAGACCCTAGAGTTTCTTCTAGGAATATTGGCTCTCCATCGAAGGCTAATGAAAGGCGGTCATTGGCATCGTCCCATGTAGAGGTTTTCCTAGCACCTAAGAAGAGACGGTGGTTGTCGAACAAGATTCCAATGGATTGAACCCAAGTAAAATCGCGACCCATGTTTTCATTTCTTTTTCCTATGAAGTGTGCGTTGATGTGGAGGTTGGGGTCGCTCACAAGGCAAAATTGTTGATCCTTCTTGCCGTGGAAGTAGAAGGTGATACCATCTCCTCCTATGAATCGAGGGTCTTGACATACTGCTCCTGGATAATCACAATCTACAACACAGAAAAACAAAGAATTATTGGCCATTCTAATATAATTTTAACTTCAATTCTCAATTGATACTAATTAAGGACAATTATAATGTATGTAACATATAGATATGAGTCTTAATCTAAATCTTTGTGTTAATTGTGCCAATATATATTTACCAAATTACTACAAGCACTACTATCTTCATTTTACTAAAAATAAATAGTCACATTTTTTTTTTTACGGTTTTTAATAATGCACATTAACTTTGATGATCTATAATATATATTATTAATTATGCATCAGTGAAAATTAAAACATTATGATATTTTAATTTACACAATATGATACAAATCAAAAAAGGACCTCATGTGATAAAAATTCGTTACTTTGTAGGAGTGACAATATTCAGTCAAAGATTAAAACGTTATCGCAAAAGGCTAGGTACCATTTTAGTAAAATGTATATAGAAAGTAAGACTTACTGCAAACAGGCTTGCAAGTGACACAGTCAACTTGACATGAAGTAGGGCAGTTAGCTGGGCAGACGTGTACTTGATTATAACATTGTCCATAGTTTTTGTTTCTGCACTTAGCTCTCTTTCTAGAGTCAACATTAGAAGTAGGAGGAGAAGAAGGTGTTGAAGGAGTAGTTGGAGTATTAGGGGTAGAAGGAGATGGTTTTGTTGGAGTTGATGGCTTAGGAGATGGTGTTGAAGGTGTTGGGTAATAGTTTGATGGGGTTGATGATGAATTGTGAGAGGATGACGAATGATGAGAGTTTTGTGGTGATCCTCCTGATGAAGAGGATCCTTCGGCGGCAGATGAGGCAGCAGAGGAAGCTGATGATGATGCAGCAGCGGCAGCTGCTGCAGCAGCAGCCGCTGCAGCCGAAGATGCAGATGATGATGAGGAGGAGGATGAAGACGAAGACGAAGAAGAAGATGATGATCCTGAAGATGATTTATGTTCATCACTTGATGGAGTAGAAGAACAAATAGGCTTGCAAGAAGCACAATCAACTTCACAACTATCAGGACAAAATTTAGGGCAAACATGCTCTAGGTTATAGCACATCTTGTACTCTTTTTTGTTACATGATGCTCTTGAAGGATTTTTAGCGATTCCTGGAGGAGTACTTGCTGCCTCTACCGCGATGGCCAACACCAAAACTAAGCACCCAAGATAAAACATCTTGGATGGAGCCATTGCTATATAGTATGGGAGGATTCAATTTGTTGAGTTATATCCAAATACTAAACAAAACAAGTGCTTTTATAGATGTGTAGGGCAGTGAATGTTGTATAAATTAATAGTTATCGGGTTAAATATAACATAGAGTATTATTTTATGCTAAGTCAAAAGCTTTACACATGCATCTAACTAGCAATACGCATTAAAAAAGGTTTATTATGATTTAGCTTGTATGTATCTAAAGTGCAAGCAATTAAATAATTTAAAGGGACTTTGATTGTTAACTATCCTGCCATAATATGTTTTTATTATTTTTTTTAAAAATATATTTCAATTGGAATCACTTTCAATTGAAGGAACAAATAAGCTATTTCTTTAATTTGACATGTATCAAAGCTTACTTTACGAGATTAACAATCTAACCGAAATGATGCTTATTTATGATTTAATGATTGAATTAAGTTGGTTATCATTCAAAGAATTTGAGAAAAAAGTATACGTACTTTCGTAACGTATTTAAAAGTGTATATTGAGTGTAGTCGTCTGTATCTTCATACTTGAGAAAAATCAATAATGATACCAAATTCATATATTTATCTCTTGACTTTGTACTTATACTACCTCCATTATTTCTTAATACACACATCATTTGTTTTCACATACATGCAAACGAATTCAATTGAGCAATTGAAAAGAAATTGACAACGAACATTGCCCTTGTAATTTTTTTCTATATATAAGGTAAGAAAAATAATCATTAGGAGAATAAGAGGTCCTCCTCGCAGGGGAAATTCCTAAGTAATGCCCTTTTAATTAGAAGAGAGAAAATATATTGTAAAGTAAAACACTGAATTGATTCCCATTTATAAATAGTGGGCAATGCAGTAATCTCAACGATAGAAAAAAAAACATGGTGAAACACGTACTCCAATAAAGGAATATCCGTTTCTATTTGCTTGACCCATAACCTTGGACACAATAATATTTAAGGAAATGAGAGAAAAATTGTAGTTTTGTGTCTCTTGTTGCACATGGTTTACCTTATTACCCCCAAAGTTGCCCCATGTATACTATTTGAGGGTAATTAATTAATTTTGAGCCTAAATTTGTGTAATGGCTAGTGCCCCAACTAAAATATTGCAATACAAAAGGGAGTAAATGTCTAAATGGTAAAATTAAAGTGACTAAATTAAAGCTTATTGTTTAGGTAAGGTTTATTGAACTTAAGTATTCCCTCCGTGTTTTAATAAGTGTTATACTTTGACCGATATATAGTTTTAGACAATTTAATTGACTTAAATAAAATAAGAGGTAAGTGAGGGTAGTTGAAGTATTAAAAAATTGTAAAAGAAAGATAGTAGGATTAATTAGTTTATTAAAAAGTAATGAATTTGAGAGGAAAGAAATAATAAATAAAAAAAAAAAGTTCTAATGAATTTGGGTGGGGATAGCTCATGTAAGGAGAAAGATATAATATTAAAACTATGTCTGGCTCGGGCGATGCTCCGAGTTGATTGTTTGTACTTCCTCTGTTCCAAATATTGCAACAATGATGAAATTACGCATCACAAACCACATTTTATATATTACATATCTATAATTGTATTAAAGTAAAAATTATAAAAAGTTGATCCTGTTAAAGTATTTTATGAGACGAACCTAACAAGATCTCATATGACTATATTTTGCTTAATGTATAAATCATATTATATGGTTAAACACGAGTGATTAATTGCGCAAAAGTCCAATTATTGCAATTGTTTAGGGTAAAAATACCATATGCCACGTGGACCAATCAGTGCGTGACACGTGTCACCTTAAGAGTGGTTCATGAGAACCAATCCCTTCTGGACACGTGGCACATACTTCCAGACTCTATAAATAGGGAGATGTTTCCCCATTGGAAACCATTCACATTCACTACCAACCAACCGAGCATATTAATTGCAGATCATTTACTTCCGATCTCGTAATTCGAGAAGATTCTTAACTTCCGCATTTATTACAGCTCCATTCCGGTTCTAACTTGATCGTTGGAGGCGGAACTCCCCCAACCGGAGTCTCTGTTGTTTTGCAGGTACAGACGTCCGGATTCCAGGGTGTTGTAACTCTCTCGAAGGACACAGAAAACCCCGAAACATTTGGCGCCGTCTGTGGGGAGAGTACTTCTATGATGGCATCCAAAGAGTCTGTACCGCCTACCGAAGGCAAACGGCCTAAGGTCAAAGTTGAGGTCCAAAAGGACCCCGATAGTGGTGACGACCTTGGGGTCGACACCTATGTGGCCCCAGACAGGTCATTCAGAACAAGACGCACCCGTTCTAAGGAAACAAGGGAACGAGGCGAAGACAAAGCTTGCCCAAGCAATCTAGTCGGTATACCTGCTGGACAACCTAACCCCAGGCGGCGGAGGGTGCCACTCCCGTCACCAGAGACGAGCTTATGAAATTCATGACGACTTTCAAAGGGGAGATCAAGGACCTCTTAAACAAGAGGACTGGTGGCTCTAGCAGGGTTAGGCAGCTAATAAACTTTCTCCCATGGGGAAGAAAAAGTCAGTTCAGGACTGTGTCCCTACTCCTCATCCCAAGCCAAAGGATGGGAACCGGCCCTTTGGCAACCTAACTAAGATCCGACTCCCTGAGTCAGAGAAGGGGAAGGCCATCCGACATGTTCAGCCGGATGGTTCAAGGAAAACATTCTCGGATGTCCGGATGTTACTCCGGGAGAAGAGAAGTCAACAATTGTCTGAGTCAGCTTCAACGTCGACCTACCCAGACAGTTTCTTGAATACCTCAGTGAGGGGTCAAAAACAAACCGAGAGAGTCAGTCACGTGGCCTGTCTGCACGTACTGGCCCTCAGATTATCCAAACGGCTCTGTATGTGCCCCAACAGCCATGCATGCCATATGGATCACCATACATGCAATAGGCCTTCTTTGGAGGTCAGGCGGCACAGAAAGTCCAGCCAATGGACTGGCAGCTTCGGCTGCTAAATCTTGGGGAACAACCTTCTGCGTTCTCCAAAGAGATAACCGAAGCAGCATAGCCTACTTAAGAATGTGTTGGTGGGTGCCTATGACGGTACCACCAACCCAGAAGACCACCTGATGGCATACACCAACATCATGTACTTATAGGGGTTGGATGATGTCACCTGGTGCAGATGCTTTCCGGCTACATTGAAGGGCATTACCCAACGATGGTTTGGCAACTTGCCAGCCGGGTGCATAAACGGCTCCAAGACGCTTGCGTACTTGTTCGCCTCAAACTTCTCTATGAATATCCCTGCGAAGAAAACAGGTCTGGACTTGAGTGCCATACAGCAGGGAGACAGAGAAGGGCGTAGGTCCTACGTCAGGTGGTTCAATTTGATGAGAATCCAGATTCAAGGACTATCAGAAGAAGTGGCTTACACAGACTTTTTTAAAGGTCTGAAAGACGAATCAACCTTCAAGTTTGATCTCGTCCGAAAAAGGGTCGCTACTCTCCAGGATGCTTTGATGGAAGCAGAAGCCTACATACAGGCTACTGAGCAGTGCGCCATCAAGCAGTCGTTGGACTCCAAAAAGTCCAACAAAAAAGAGAGTTGTTCTGCTCAGCCGGCTAAAAAGGAAGAGAGCAAGAAAAGAAAAGAAGTCTGGGTGGCGGACAATTCTGGTCAGCCATCCCAGAAGAAGAAGAAGGAGTTGAAACTGTACACACCCAAGTACGAGTTCAACAAGGACAGTTACTCCATCCTCATGGAGATCAAGGACCGGGTAACCATCGATAAACCGGCTGCCATAAAGGGTTCCGTCAGAAATCGAAACAAGAACAAAGATTGTCACTTCCATGAGGACATTGGCCATGACACCAATGATTGTTACAGCCTCGAACGGTTATTGGACCGTTTGGCTGATAAAGAAGTACTGAAGTCTTATATCTTGAAGTCCCAGGTGACCCTCAAAGCAAACAATGGACAACCGTCCAAGAAGGCGCCCCAATCTGCTAATAGTTCGGACACCGATGATGAAACGATCTATACTATAGCAGGCGGCTTTGCCGGTAGGGGTCCTACCATCCGGGGCACCAAGGGCTACGTCCGGAGGTTGGATGTCAGCACAGTGGATGAGGGCCAGGCGTCGAAAGACACCTTCCCTGACGTCCTCATCACTGAGAAAGATAGGGGCAAGGTCAAACGGCCACATGATGACCCCATAGTGATCGAGTGCAAGATAACCATTCAGAAGGTTGGTCGGATCCTAATCGACACTAAAAGCTCATCCGACCTGATCAGTCACAAGTGCTTGGTTGGATTTGGGGGAAGGGTCGTGCATCCGGTGGGAAGAATTGACCTACCCATCCAGTTGGGAGAAATGGGGGCAGGACGCCACATGGTGGTAAAAGGGGGCAGGACGCCACATGGTGGTCCGATTCCTTGTTGTTGATGAGTTGACCGCCTATAACCTGATACTGGGCAGGCCAACGTTGAATGAGTCTAAAGCGGTCATCATTCCCTCCCTCATGCTATAAAATTTGAAAGAAATGATGGGTCTGTAGGCTCCTTGAGCGGAGACCAGAAGACGGCGAGAGAATGATATCTCTCAGACGTCAAACCGACTATAACTGTAGTCGGTCAAGATGAGAAGCATGTAGACCTTGATGAGGTCAAAGAAGCTGCGCCTGCTCCAAGAGCAGCCGGTAGAAAGAGAAAGGCGAACCAATTGGCAACCATAAAGAAAGAGAAGCAATAGCAATTACTGACCGGGGAAAGGTCAGACGAACTACGTCCCCAGACGCCTGGTGATCACATTGACATCGTTCTTGATGAAACCCGTCCAAATCGAACTGTTAAGGTGGGGACGGCTGCTTTTGCTAAGTTGTGTGAAGAATTGCACACCCTTCTGAGGGAATTCAAAGACATTTTTGCCTTTGGAAGTTGAGGAGATGTCAGGCGTTAGCCCAGATCTAGCAGTGCATAAACTTGCCGTGGATCCTAAAAAGAAGCCGGTTAGGCAAAAGAAAATAAACCACGGGGAGGAAAGGAGCCAGG